ACATTGGTATGATTGTCCCAAATCTTCAAGACTCAGCTATTCATATACGGATAGTAACGTATCTATGCTCCTACGAGGTGTTCCGCGTTGATGTTCCGAAATTGTTCAGATTGAAAAAACACAATGCTGGCATGTTGATCATGTGATTCATGTGGAGTTCTTGGCTCAGAACACTGAGCACAATCGTTATTTTTCAATTGTGTGGTCGCTTCAAGTGCGGCCTGATGGCCTCAGCCCCGGCGCTTTCACGGCACACCCAGGTAAATATAAGCCTAGGGGGAAACAAAAAAAGTATGAAGCATCCAGATGGAGGTGGAGCACATCTTGTGGGAGCTTGCGAAGCACATGGCTGTTCTTGCCTATCACGAGAGACCAATGTAATGAATGGTAATGCCGATGGCGATGATGCAAATTTTTGCATTGACAGTAACTCAGCAACCACAATACATGCGTTGAACAACCGCATGAAGACGAGTTTCTTCCCCATTGATTGCATGGGTTTTCGAGATCTTTGACAGGCCAAGCAAAAAAAAGAACAACATCCTCACCGTGGAAACCTTCAGACCAGATCACCAGCAATGTCCCCTCGAATCCAGTGCAGGTTCGATTTTGAGTGTCCTCGTGTTTCCTCTAGTAGCAGGAAACTACTAGGTGGAGGCCATCGCTGTTAGGTTGGAGGCCATTGCTAGCAAGAAGCTAATCAAAGGAAATCCTCTGTGGACTCTGTGACCTCTGTGGACTTCTCCAATCTTGTTCGCGCACGATGGTGCCTCACGGCTCCTCGTCATTTGGAAGCACTTGGCACCTCATCTTCATGCTAGTTCCAGCCATTAATATCTATGATAGTGTTCCACTGGTGCAACTGTCAACATCACAGCTGTTGAGACACTGGAACAATACACAGGTCCTGAGATTGCAAATATGGCCCATTTTAACTCCAGTGAACAAATCGAAGATGAATCCTGCTGAGCTGCCCACATTGAATTTCAGCTATGACAGAATTGCAATCTAGAGTGGATTTCACATACATCAAGTGAATGCAATTGTAGAAGTCGCTATTAAAGCTTAACGCTTGGTGGTTCATCCGTGGATGGATGGAGTACAACATCGGAGTTTTGCGAGCATTGCTTCATATAGTTTTGCTGAGGCCTTTAAGCAATTCGTTAGGAATTTGTCCACTCTTGGTTGATCCTGGTTGTGGTACAGCACTTTTGAACTCGGACCAGGAGCTCTTCCGTGCGAAACTTCGCCAGCTACCACAGGCAGTTTGGCGGTCAAATGGAGAGTATGGGAATCGCCCCGTTTAACTCTGAATTGAGTGGCTCTGTCTTGTGAGGGAGGAAACTGTGTGGATGGGCTGTACCATGCTGTACCCATGAGTTTATATAAGGATATTGTCAAGCATTTGCTTAGCAGTGTGAGGTTGTGTTCTTCGACGTAATGCAAGCAGGTTTAAATCCACTGCCCCAAACAGTTCTTTTTTTTTGACCAACTGAACTAACAGCATCTTGTCCATAATTGGCTCGAGGGTTGGCATGATGCGTCCGAATTCCCCAAGCTATTTGGCAGGTGCTCACTGACTCTTGTCTGCGAGCCCTATGATGCCAATACATTGTCAATATTTGCCAGTACATGTTCTTGTCAAATTTTACTGACTAAAGAAACGACCTCCTTTAGTATATAATTGCTTTGTTTGTGGTTGTTTGTGGTATATATCCAAGTTATGTTTCTTGACGTGGTGCAACATTTGTTGAAATGCGTCATTTTGAAACTTTGCTGTCAACCATGCTCGAGGACTTCATCTGGGTTCCGGGCGATAGGGGCGATAGGGGTCTCCCATCATGAACGATATATCCCAAGATAGACGATTGGGCACCGTAAATAAAACAAAATATATAAAGCAATTCACCACCTAGAACGGATGTTCATGGATTTCGTATGTCGACGCCCCTTGGGCGCGCTCCCACCAACCGCCAGGGTGGTTGGTTCGACGGCGGTCGACGGCTTTCCATCCGCCGACCCTCCTGCATCAAGGCGCCCGCCGCGCGACCAGTCGTCGCCGGAGCCACCCAGGTGCCACCAAGTAGTGGAGAGTAACCCCAAACAATAGACTCAATAGACCATGGATACAGCCGAGCATTTCCCCATATGTTCTTAACCGTACTCCACATATAGTGAGGGTGTAAGCGGAAGCAGCATTTTTTTGGAGCCGCACCGCACCCATCGAATTGCTTTTTTCAGGATGGCCAGACACCTGGGGTGTAGGTTCGAAAGGGAAAAGAGCCGAGAGTTCAACCTGCAGGAGCTGTCCGATGAGAGTTCAACCTCGGAGAGCCACTGGGATTAATGATTCAAGCGATCGATGGAGCAGTGTTGGCCAGTCACAGGAATTCGATTGGCGTCAGATAAGGATTAATCTTTAATGATCAGGATGAATTCGCCCGGAAACCGAACCAACGGATATGCAACTACTATCAACTACTACAATTGATTGGTCGGTGTGACATGGACTTTGAAGGCGTCTCCCTGTGTCTTCCTCTCTCTCTCTCTCTCTCTCTTTTGCTTTGGTGCATGTGTTTGTATGCGTGCGAGAGTGGGAGAATGGCTGAACTGTTTTGCAATCGCCCAGCATCTTGGTACATCTGAACATCATTTTTTGTTGCCGATGTTGGGTGGGGTGGGGTCGGAACTTCCCCATTGGATTGTAGTCGGTGGCAGTTACTCTCCATGCCAAGGTTCCAATGCGGACGCACTTCAATCGCGTGCGGTGCCAAGTTTCGGCAGTTATTCACCTTGATACACTTTTGATATGTTTTGTTTATACTTTATACTCTTACTTGAAACCTTGAAACACACACACACAGACAAACACACACCCAGCCAGGCACCAGTCATGTTTTCAATCGTAGTCTTCAGAACACAAGGCATGAGAGGATATGGAGCCGAATTCATGGGTTTATCAATGCAGGATATTCCGGGCTTTCTGATGTCTTTTTTCTCTGAAAGACGAACATGTGAATTTGATCTCATGAAGGGTTGAGTGTACTTTCGAAGACTAGTAGTAACAAGAAGCTACTAGGAACAAGTGCGTCGCTTCTAGTAACAAGTGCCTTACTAGTAGTAACAAGAAGCACAAATATCTTTGGCTTCCAGAGCATTGTCCCTATGTCGCTTTCTGGGACAGGCTATCGCGCACACAGGCGGTGCCAACGCGGGGTGGAGGGGGCGAACGTGCTTTCGCAAAACCAAAGCAAAGTGAAAGCTGGGTCAGTTGGGTCAATTGTGTTATGTTTGAGTTACAGTCGTTTCACATCGTTCCACAGTAGATGGCACAACGCCTTAGATGTTTCACAGTAGATGGGGTTCTGTACTGACCACCTCTTGGAATTTAATCCCCCCACTTTGACACCACAAATTATTCAGCATCTCATAGAATGATTGAAAGACATAATTTTTCATGCAGAATCTCAGAAGAGGTGCCTCCATTTGCGATGTTTGGGCACACCGGCACACCCCAGATGCGACAGGAGACAAATCCCGAACAACATCGAAAAACTATAGGGGTCACCCCCTACCCAACCAGCACTAAAACGTACACTCCTAACCCAAATCCCTTTGACAGGTAGATTTTGGGGAAAAAAACAAGATCCTAGCAATCTCTGAAGCAACTGAGGGCTTCGGCTTGATGCATCAATGTGCTAATGTGCTATTTTGATTCACAGATCGTCTCCCGTCTCACAGAAACAAGCTTCAGCCAGTTTCCTTGAGGTGGAATGGTATGTGTGAGATAGGCGAGCCATGGTCAAGATGTTCCTTATCATTAACTAAGATACTTAATGTTGACATAGCCAGCATACCGATTCAAACCATCTGCAACATGCACAACAAAAGCAAAAGCAATGGTCCTTGGGTCCAATTTTTGACGTCTCACATTTGTTTTGTTTTTGTTAGAAGAATAGTGACCGGTGGCCGGTGAAGAACGACACCGCTCATATATCGTGCCAGTTCGTTTGACATGGAAGAAGAGGAATCCGAGGAAGAGGACGATTGGGAGAAGGAGGGCTGATGCTGGTGCTGGTGCTGTGACTGCTGCTCCATTGGTCCCTGGGAAACTCAGATTTGCAGTAACGTGTGTTTCAAAGCAGGTCAAGAGGTCTTTTTTCGAGCTGCTAACTGAATCGGCTGATCATCGGCTGATCTTCCCAAAAGGGTCCGCAGTGATCTAATTTGCCAGGCTGTTTGCAATTTGTTAAGACCTTGGACATCTACAATATGTATCTCTCCTGGTAAGGAATCTCCCAGATACCTGACCTCTACTCACACTGAAAGAGGTGGGTGTTGCGGGAAGAGCATCGGCAACAGACAGACCTGCTTTGCAACCCACTCAATGGCACCAATATTACCAAGATCCTTATTTAGTTGTGTCTTAAGATCCACTATTGCTTCAGATGATCCAGATGTTGTTATTGTCATGATCACCCCAAACAACTGTGAGGCGTGAACGACAAGCTCTCCATGACGATATCCTTGATCTGCGAGAAAGTGTATTTATATAGAGGTAGTGAAATTGTGCAGTCATGCCTCACGGCCTTATGGCTATGATCAAGTGTAGAACTTGTTTCACATGACACGATACCGCAGGCGCCTTGGGCACAAATCTGTCGAGTTTGGTAGCGGAGCCTAGTGCTCCGTTGCCGATCCTTCCAGCGCCGCCATAGGCTGCTGGCGCTCGGCTTGGCTGCTACCGCGAGTTGCGCGGTAGGCTCTGGTCTGCAGGGCCTTTGGAGGAGGAGATCGAGATCCTGCTCTGTCGGTGGCAAGAGAAGTCAGAAGGCTCTGACGAGGACAGAAAACTACCTCACTTGGGGTTGAACCCAAGAGGAACAAACAACACAGAAAACTACCTCACTTGGGGTTGAACCCAAGAGGAATAAATACTACATCCTTGAGGACCTCATCACAGGCCCCGTGGACTCCATCGATTACAAGATTGCTTGACTATGAATCCACCCAGCTCTGGGAGCATTCCGCTCCAGGAGTATCGGCGGGACATTCCGCCGGGCTGGATTCCAGGTGATGCTTCGTATCCCTTGAGGACCTACTTCGACAAGCTGAAGCTTTGGTACCGGATTGCCAATGTGGAGGATGAAGCCATCGGTCCACTGGTGGCTGGACGACTCTATGGTCGAGCATCCACGATCGCCATGTCTTTGAGAGTGCCAAGGCCAGACGGCACCTTCGATGTTGGCGATGCAGCGCTGGTTCGACTAGCTGTTGATGAAGTCCGCGACCCAGCGACCAATGTGATCATCCAGAACCACATCCCCTCAGGAGTGCAATTCCTGGCCAATGCACTCCGCACGGCGTTCGGTCAGCAAGACCAAGATCTGGCGACACAAGCACTGGACAAGTTCTTTGGCCTTGCAAGAGGAAAGCTCAGCCTGTCCGAATACAGCGTCGAGTTCGACAGCCGGTACGATGATGCTCATGACAGAGCTGGACTGCAGTTGAACGATGTTGGCAAGTTCTTCCTATGGTTCAAGAACTCTGGCTTGCCATCCAAGACGGTTGATGACATCAAACTGCAGGTTGCTGGCGACTACACTCGCTTCAACGACGCTCGAGCTCTGGCATTGCGCATCAACCCTAATCGGCGAGAACCTGATGACGCCCAGATCCTCTATGAAGAGAATGATGAGTCCTATGGCGACTACGACGCCTACTACCAGGACTGGGGCGATGACTATGAGGCCGAGGATTCATGGTGGTATGGCTATGAGGAGGCCGATGAAGGTGAATGGGTCTATGAGGAGTACGCCAACGACGAGAACTACTACGAGAACCATGATGCCAGCGATGAGTCATGGCAAGAGGTGGACCTTGAGGCTGGCATGACATCTGGTTCAGCAAGCGACTCCAATGTCTCGGGCGAGTACAACGAAGCCTATTACAAAGGAAAAGGCAATGGCAGTGAGGATGGCTGCTTCAACTGTGGCAGCAAGTTCCACCGAGTTCGAGATTGTCCACTAGGCAAGGGCAAGAACAAGAAGGGCAGCCACAACTACAAAGGAAAAGGAAAGTCAAAAGGCTTCTGGAGATGGCGACCCAACTTCAAAGGAAAGAGCAAAGGCAAGAGCAAGCATCCTTGGAGAAGCAAAGGCAAAGGAAAAGGAAAAGGCTTTGGTCGAAAAGGCCACTACTACGCCTACCAGGAGGAGGACAACTACAAGCCTCGTGGTGGTCTGTCGATCAGCGAAGGCATTCCTGATGCCTCAACTCCGCAAGAAGTTGCCACAAGCTCCAAGGAGGTCAAGACGACCAAGAAGGCCGAGAGCTTCGTGATCCACACGTCATCCGAGGATGAGGACTTCAAGAAGCCAACTGAGGGATATTCAGGTCAGCCTGAGTATACTACGAAGGATCACTATGACAAGAAGCTCAAGATGAACTTCATGGTCTTCAACATGAAGAAAGAAGAGACACAGATGAGCTACCATACCATCCATGGGCAAGAACGCTATGGTTTGCTCATTGATCCCGGAGCTGCATCCGGGCTGGTTGGTAGCGAGACCCTCAGAATGCTCAAGAGTTGCTCCCTGGGCGAGATGGAGATCAACCGCAACAAGATCACTCCAGTTTCCGGCATTTCAGGAAACAGCGAGTCAACTCTCGGAGAGGTCACGTTGACCATGGCGACCGCAGGACAACCCATCACCTACACGGCGGAGGTCATTGGTGGAGCTGGAAGCCTATGCCCAGCACTGGTTGGCAACCCGACTCTTCGTCGATTGGGTGCATCAATCTTGACAGATTGGTTTGAGAATGGTGATGGTATGCTTGTTCTGAACACCAAGGACGCCATGGATGCAGAGGTCAATCACGCGAAGTTCTTTAGGATCCTGCTCACAGATTCTGGACACTACATCTTGCCTTGTGACAACGTTCAGAACGAGAAGGTTCCAAGAGCTTCGAAGCACGAGGCCATCGCTTTCTTCCAGAAGATCACCGAGATCACTTCGAAAGTTTGGCCTGACGTGCAACCACGGGTCAGACACTGCTTCCATTCCCAGACGGCGGCAGAGGATGACCGGTGTGATTACAATCGTGAACATGAACGAGACACAGGCCCAATGAAGAGGCAAGATCATGATGTTGGTTGTGATCATTTGGCTTGCGAGAATGGAGAAGAAGATGAACTACGGAATCCTGTTCCTTCCAGGAAGATTCACTTCATTGATGAGGAACAGCAGAAGAAGTCCGAGGAGCCCTACGACCTCATGAACAGCGAGAAGAACAAGAGCCTATCACCAATTGCAGAAGAGCGCGACTCCGAGGACGAAGTTTCACCATCAGCCATTTTGGCAGAGCAGTGCACGAAGAACGACAAGAGCAAAGAGCCTGCGAAGAATTCAAACCACTTGATCAACGAGCACCCTGCCGGACCTGCCATTTTGGCCCCGGCAATTCATGATGAACAAGGCCTACGTGAGGCAAGCTATGATGAAGAGAAGAACGTCTTCCTCAGCTACACTGGCGATATGATCCCCGAGACGGCAGATCAAGCCAAGTTGAAGAAACGATACAAAGCAATCCCTGAGGAGTTCTACACCAAGAGCGGATTGACGCCGGTGACTCCCAAGAACTTTGACAGCTGGTTCAAGAGAGTTCGAGGACGAGGATTGCGATGGCACTTCTGGGAGTTGTTCAGTGGCAGTGGAAGATTGTCGCTGACGTTGCTTCTTGCTGGACTCATGGTTGGTTTCCCCGTCGACTATCGGTACGGCTGGGACATGCGGGTAGCAAGCCATCGTGGCATGATCCACGCAGCTTACGAAGAGTTCCAACCTGGAGTGCTTCATATGTCTCCGGACTGTGCACCATGGTCAGTTGCGGCATCTACGAAAGATCCTGATGAGAAGATGTGTGAACGTCTACAAGATAGACCAGCACTACAACTATGTCAAGATCTTTCTGCGCGACAAGATGCCAATGGCCGTGGCTACAACATAGAACAACCTTATGGAGCACAATCATGGCAAGAACTTCCAGAGAATCCTCTACGACTGCAACGAATTCCTGGCAACAAGAGCAGACAGAGAGTGGACCAGTGCATGCATGGAGCCCAAGATGAACACGGCTACCCCATCATGAAGCCCACTGGCTTTGGATCCAACATCCGTTGGAAGCACACTGGACTTCGATGCGGAGGTCATTGCGGTGTTCCACACACTCAGCTCAAAGGCACAGGCCCATCTGGTCTGACCAGGACTTCGATGTCAGCAGTCTACCCAAAAGGAATGTGCCAACGCATGAAGCAGGACATCATCCAGTACCTGGCCTACATGAACCTACTCAAGCTGAAAACTTGGCCACATGATGCTTACGCAGTGACGCTTGGTCACTACTATGATTGTGTCCGACGCCAGCTTGGACGTCATTGTCCTCGCAACATAGAGCACACTTTGGTGCCTGGACAGTGTCGACATGGACGATGGCCATCCGAAGAAAATCCACGAAGAAAGAAGAAGCTTGAAGCTGAAATGGATGCCATGAAGAAGTGGAAGCAAGAAGCCGAGGCGGAGCTCTATGAGGGCGTGGAGATCAAGAACCTTACCAGCAAAGCGCTCTCCGTGCCAACTACACACATGCTCAAGAAGCTCCTCCTCGAAACCATCAATGCCACTATGGGTGTCTTCAATGAAGCAGCAAGGAGAAAGATCGACTATGTTCACTGGCTGGACAATCCTATGCTTATGAGCCTCTTCAAGGAGTTCTTCAAGGACCTGATCCAAGTCAAAGCAGTGAAGATTTAACTCCGACCTTTCCATCTTGCATCAGCAGAGCCGAAGCTTCCATTGACATCATCATACCTACGGATGCAAGTGAGAGGCAATGTGAAAGCATGGGACATTCACCCTCCAGAAGATTTGCGAGAGATGAGTTTCAGCCAGATCAACGCAGCACTCGACGAGGATGACTGGGCAATCACCATCTATGGAGTGGAGCACGATATGGCACCTTCGCCATCAACACCAGCATCAAGGCCAAGAACAAGACCTGATGAACCTGGTATCGTGCAGCCTGCCCAGAACCTCGACGAGATGGATGAGAAGAGCATAGCTGATCTCAAGAGAGCACCCTTGACACCTCCAGTAGTACTCGATCGACCAGGAGACCCAGCTGAACGAGATCCAACTCAGATTGCACCTTATGAAGATGAAGAACTGCAGACAAAGTCAGTTGAGGAGATCAAGCCATTGAAGCCGAACTACAACTTGCGAAGAGTGTTGGTTCGCATTCCTAAGCTCATGGAAGACGAGAACCACACGAAGGTCAAGCAACTCCTACTTGGTCTTCACGAGCGGCTTTGGCATTCTCCGATCTCCGACTTTACGAACTTACTACAGAAAGCTGGAATGTCACCTGAAGTCATCAAGTTGGCGACTGAGGCGGTTCAATGCTGTGCCATCTGCAGGAAGTATGTCAGACTTCCCAATCGTCCACAAGTTCGAGCACGAGGAGCAAGCAGTTTCAATGAATCAGTACAGATGGACCTATTCATGTGGGAGAACACCTGGTTCATGCTTCTTTGTGATGAAGCAACTCGCTTCAAAATGTGCACGACGATTGAAGGACAAGAATCTGACGATTTGCTGACGGCATTTAAGAAGGCATGGATCTTTCTATTTGGACCACCTCGGCGACTTGTTCTCGATCAACAAGTATCCTTGATGTCACATGAGACTGCAGCAGAGTTTGAACGACTCTCCATTGAGCGTGCGCCACGTGGCACAACACAAGGACATGGAGCCGAACAGCACACTGGCACTGGCTTGGTGGAACGACACGTGGGTCTGATGAAGCTCACCATGTACAAGCTACGAGCAGAACTTCAACGACAAGGCCTCGCGCCAGAGAATGAAGAGATAGCTCAGGAGAGCTGCATGGCTCACAACATCACCTTGTCCTACGGTGGCGTGACACCATCCATGGCAGTGTTTGGCACTCTTCCAAATGGCTTCTATGATCCTGAGAGCCGTGGCATTATGAGTGTTGTTGGAGCCCAGGAGACAGATGTCACTGTCTTTGAGAAGGCGATGAGAATCCGGCAAACAGCACTTGCACAAGCTCATCAAGCTGTGATTGAAGATCGTGTAGCACGAGCAGCCAGAACCAGGACACACCAGCTCGACCTCGACCAGCTCATTGCTGGTACATCAGAGGTTGAATTCTATAGAGAGGTGAAGAACGACCCTGGTTGGCGTGGACCTGCTTTGTTGCTACGATTGGACGCTGATGATGGTGTGGCAATCATCCAATATCAAGGAAGCCATATCTGGTAGCACTCAGACACATCCGATCCTATAAGGGCATTTTCCACTTCACCTTGCCGAACATGGAGACAGAAGATGCCTTGAGGAAGTTGATGAGATTTGTCGAAAGCCTCACAGAATACAAGACGAACATCTATGGTTGGCTGAAGAGAAATGGCAAGTGGCGATTCTTCCCTCGTGAGGATGATCATGCAACGAAGATCATGTTGTGGGTGCAGCACATCTACAAAGGTTTGAGCAAGCATCAAGTCCATGGAGCTCTACTTGGACGAAGCTTGCGGAACATCAAGCCTCCATCGAACACAGTTGGTCATCTCATCTCATGGATTCATGGAGGACAAGGCTACGCCGTGCAAGAGCACTTCTCCGACGGATTCTTGAAGATGAAGAGGGTTTCCAACTACTCTCGTGAAGAGATGTGCACCATCTACTTGTTCCACTATCATCCTGATCCTGTGGAAGAGCCAGCAAGTCAGTCGACCATCAACAAGGATGACGACAAGATGGACGTCAACGTTCCCGATGACAGAGGCGAGAAGAGAGATGCACCAGAGACCAGAACAGTGGTCATGGCACCCGAGAAGAAGAGGCAGCGCATATACAATGTGAAGAAAGAGCTCGATTTTCTACGAAATTTGCATGTCAACATGACTGAGAACCACATCATTCAGATTGATTGTGGACATGATTGGTTGACAGGTTGTCACATGTGGTCAGAAGTATGCAATCAGTTCATGGTGGAACAACATCTCCGGGAGAAAGAGAAGCTTCCTCAATTGTTCCACTTCCACTACAAGAGGACGCATCAAGCATACGCATGCCTCAGAACTGCAGAGATCTACCAGGTAGATCAGGAGACTCGCAACATTGAAGAAGCAGACATCACGGCCGACATTTGGCCTGCTGTTGAAGAAGCTGATCGCAACGAGATCAAGCAGTTTGTTGACGAGAAAGCATTCGCAAAGATCCACAAGATGAAGATCACAGGAGAGTACGTGCAGATTGATGCACGGTGGGTTCGCAAGCGAAAGCGCTATCCTGACAAGAGCATTCGCATCAAGTCTCGACTTTGTGCGCGTGGTTGTTTGGATGGACAGAAAGGAGAGCTCACGACAAGGTCAACGACTGCGACAAGGCTAAGCCAAAGGATCCTGGTATCCAGAGCATCATGGTCACGCAAGATGAGCCTGGAAAGCTTGGACATTGCTGGAGCATTTCTCAAGGGCTTTGACTTTGAGAAGATCCGAAAGACCCTGCAGAAGAAAGGCATTCAAGCGCCTGTCCGCATGGTGGTGATATTTCCTCCACTTAATGTTTGGCGACATCTGGCGGAATTCTCTGACGAGTTCAAGGTTCCTGAACGAGAGTTGCACAACTATGGACTGCTATGTTTGAAGCCTGTTTATGGGTTGAATGACGCTCCATTGGCTTGGCAGTTTTCTCTACATGATTTCATCCGAGAAAGCGGCGCGGAACCATCTCACCTAGATGAGAACTGTTGGACATGGAAGAAGGATGGTGAGAACATTGCAATGGTCACGACGCATGTGGATGACTTGGCGATCACTGGAACGCCTGAGTGGCTGGACGATGCATATGATTCCTTTGTCAAGAAGTTTGGCAAAGTGACACGACAGCAATTGCCATTCACTCATTGTGGTTGTGAGTACCTTCGTACTGCAGACGGCTACATGATCAGCCAGCAGGAGTTTTCAGAAAAGATTACACCTGCACCTGTCCCTGCAAGAGAAGATGATTCCAGATTGACACCAGCAGAAGTCTCAGATCTGCGATCCATCTTAGGAGCGCTTCTTTGGGTGACAGCGACACGGCTGGATGTGATTGCGGATGTTTCAGCACTACAATCACGAGTGACAGTAGCAGAGGTCAAGGATTTGAAGCAGGCAAACAATGTGCTCATGAAGGTGAAGGAGTTTGCAGATGTTGGTTTGCACTACCGCTACTTCAGGACAAAGCATCGACGACTAGTTTGCTTTCATGATGCTTCGGCAGCCAGCAAGGGCCGGAACTATGCCCAGGAAGGTGTAGTCATTGCTTTGGCCGATGACGAATGGCGGAACATCACGATTGACTTTGAGCACACCTGCGAGACTGAGGAGCACGAACTCATGCATGGAGGAGTAATGCATGTTTTGCACTCACATGGAGCAAAAGCCAAGAGGGTGAGCTACAGCACATCACATGGTGAGACACTAGCCATGGTGAACGCCTTGGAATCTGCAACATTGTGTATGATCAGGCTCAGCGAGATGCTCCATCCTCAACATCCTCCATCGTTGAAGGACCTCATCAAGATCCAGACAGCTGGAAATCCAGAGATGCCTTTGGACATGTATGGAGATGCTAGAGATGTCTATGAGCTCATCACAGGCAGCAAGACGATGCCTCAGGACAAGACACAGCGGCTCTACGTTTTGTCCATAAAGGAAGCACGATTGGATGGCAGAGTTCGAATGGTGACGTTGGTCCCAACGAACTACATGCTTGCCGATTCCCTCACCAAGTCCATGGTCCATGAAATGATGCTGATGTTGTTGACAACAGGCTTAATCTGACTGCATGGAGTGGAGAAGCACCCAATTGTGACAAGGGTTCTTCCGACCATCGACTTTGACGAGCACGACCTTATGCTGAAGGACGAGGAGATGATCCTGAAGGCAGAGAAGGATGGGAGCATGGTGCGAACGACACATGCTTCAGTGCTTGTGGGACTGGCAGCGTTTGCCACTTCCAAGAAGATGCTGGCGGCAATGATGCCGACTTTAGCATTTGGAACTTTGGTGGATGCGCAATCCACTGAACCGGAGAATCAAGAGCAGAAGAGCTACTTCTCCGTGTACCTCATGATTTTCATCACGGTGATTTTGGCGGTGATGCTTGAGAGAATGGTGACAAGTTGGATGAGCAAGAAGAGAAGAATCCAACCTGTGAAGATCGAGTCCGACGACGATGACGACATGGATGTCGATCAAGAAGGAGATCAACCATCATCCTCAGGAGCATCCTTCCAACGGAAGAGGAAAGCAAGTCCTCGAGACACATGGGAAGATCTTGCACGAAAGGTCATTGACGAGAAGGAGACGCTGAAGCGAAAGAACAAGAAAAGCGAAGAAGATGCACACCTACAGCAACAGGAGATCGACAGCCTCAAGTTTGACAATGAATGGTGGAAAGATAAATATGAGAAGCTTGAGGAGAAGTACGATGACAAGGACTTCGAGCTGAAGAACCTCAAGAATGACATGACAGTGGTCAATGCAAGGAAAATGGTGCTCGAATCTACGGTCAGCGACATGAGAGCTGGACTAGTGAAACTTGAAGATGAGAATGCCGAATTGAAGATGAAGCTGGACAGAAAGACAGCAGCATCATCGGAGAGACCAGCACCGCTGACACCAAGGATCACTGACAATGCCGAGATGGCCGGCGAGATCGAGAAGCTGCAGAAGATGGTCAAGTTCAAAGACCAGGAGATCATGAGACACCTGGCTCGCATCAAGAGCTTGGAGCTGCCGGAAGCCATCTTCATCACGAAGACTGGCAAGAAGTTCCATCGAGAAGGATGTCCACATCTGAGAGAGGGCGAACATGTGAGGCCAAGAGAAGCCTTTGGCAAATGCAGCAGCTGTTGCGGCTGAGCATTTTTTTGGCTAAAGAAAGCCATTTGAACCCAGAACGGCATCAAGAGGATGACCGGAGTGAAATTGTGCAGTCATGCCTCACGGCCTTATGGCTATGATCAAGTGTAGAACTTGTTTCACATGACACGATACCGCAGGCGCCTTGGGCACAAATCTGTCGAGTGAGGTCTTCTGAAATCTGTTTGTTATGACCCTATTACTCGATGATGTCTTGCAGTCTTCTACGCAGAGGCCAATCAAATCAGAATAGAGTATATATCGAGATATTTGTATATAACTTTGTGTGCTGTGTCTCTTGTCACTTGTCATTGTACTAAGCTGTAGAAGCGCCCAGTTACTGTATTCTTTATGTGTTGTTTGCCACCTGCTTTTTTTGTGACATCTACCAATCTACCAAGTTCTCGTTTCGATGCGCCCATCATGACCTTTGAGGAGCTAAGTTCGAGCCCGTCGCCCAGCGTCTCGGAAGAAGAAGCAGAGACCTGGCAGAAGGCTGGAGCTACTCTACGAGCTTGAGTTGCATCATCCAGGTCATGGTGTCACAGGCCACCACAGGTGTCACTGGTGTCTAAACTCGCAGATCTTGCAAGGATTTGCAAGGTTTGTTTCGAGATGAAAGAAGAGGGCTAAGCTTTTAAACTTGCGATTTTGATACGGGTTCCCGACTTGCTACGGGGTCCTCATTTCACAGGTCATGTTGCAATGCTTCAACTCTGACGCAGCACGATGTGTTTGTTTTCAAGGCTCACACAGTTGAGAGTTAGTTTGATTGTCTGCCACGCAGTTTCTGCGTGGCCGAGTGTGTTGGCTGCCGGTAGTGGCAGTGTCTGAAAGAGTTGACCTCGGGAAGGCGATGGGAAGGACCACCGAGCACTAGAATGCCTAGGTAGACCACGTTGATAGTTGTTGGAGGCTACATGCCAGAACTTCTCAAAACTTGCAGCAACAACCTTGTCACCAACAAAACCTGTTCCTGTAATGTTCCCCTCCATCCAAGACCTCGAAACATCCTTGAACGCATTGAGACCCAAATTCTCGGTATTTCATCACTCTTCTGCGAGTTCGGCGGCCCCCACGCGACCCGACCAGGCGCGGATCTCCGAGGAAGCAGAGATCACCGAGCTGATGCAGAAGGTGGCCGAAGAGCTTGACAGGCGCGATCGGCGGATGGAAGTGGTGGCAGTCTTGATGGAGTCGGATGGAGTGATGGCGGTTGGCTGAAGGATAAGAGAGGAGTTTATTTTGTTTTATTTGGTATGTTTTTGTATGTTTTTGTGGTTGTTAGTATTAAAACCATGGCTCGTCAAAAGGGCTGTACCCTTTCAATTCCTGTTGAATAGCCATGGAGCCATGGAGCTTTCGAAGAACTTCCTGGTTCACTTGTTGGGTCTTCGTAGGTTGTTCCTTGATGAATCAGGGATTTGGAGAGTGCGGAGGACCAACAGATCTGAAGAGTTGATTCCCGAACGATCAGGTGACTGCCAATGTTGCTGCCAAAGAAGCTTTGTAAGTGCCTTCTAAAGGTTTCGGGCTTCTCATAGCTAGTAGCCAAGCCAGACCAAGAGACACACTTAATTAGCTGAACTGAGACTGAGCTCCTCATTATAGTTCAATAGTTGCGTAGACACTGGCCAGGCGTGGGCTTTCCACCAGCAGTGCCTACATGAGCACTTTGCGGCAGCTGCGTGTCGCCACACGCTGGGTGCTCGGAGAGTGCGTTTGGACGGGAGTACAAGTACATGACATTGGATGGAGATGGGGCAGGAAGCAGAGTAGTTGGATTGGATTGGATTGGCGTTGTTCTTGAAGATACAGGATGTTTGGTTGTTACTGTTACAGTATATATTACCCGTTTGTCCATTTGACCATCTTAAGAGACATCAAAGTGATCTAGAGTTGGGATTGCCTTCGCAAGACTACTGGAAACATGCAACTTTCATGTTTATGGACATCCCTAATTTGGACGCCGGTTCTTTGCAGATAAATGACATTTACACAGGCCAAGCTGGACATGGGTCAAAAGTGCATCTCAACAAAACCTCTATAATTGCATCAATAATTAAATACATTCAACAAAGAAAGCACGTCATTTAAGTAAGATATGTCCTGTTCTTTCCTTCGACTTTCCCCCCAAAGCCACTTCTCAGTGGCACTTCGAGCTGTAGAATTCTTTTCGTCTGTTCAGGTGAATTCCCTGGCACCATTCTCTACGGCTCGGCCGCTGTGGGCAAATCGACCTTGCTTCGCAGCATGCAACTCGGACCGATCCGGAGCCAGGTGACAATACATGCTGCGCCTGTGCTTTATTCTTTGGAGAGAAGAAGCGTTATACGATTTTATACAATTTGTTGTATGTTTATGTAACTTTTAATCTTTTTGACATACAGTTCTGGTCTTTTGACTTTGCTGGGAACATTGGCCGGAGAGGCACCATTTACACCACCGCGGCGTGTTTCAACGAAGATACATAATCTGCAGAGTGACTTCATTCGTGGACCCCCGTCAAAGCAGGCCTGGCAGTCTGTGGGTTGCGCTGTCTCTTCCTTCACGTGTTGTAGACGGTCCGAACGAGAACAGTCAGGTATTGGCTGGCTGAACTTCTGAACCAACAAAGTTGGCAACAAGAGCGGTGTCTACATGACATTTCTCCAAAGAACTGCGCCAATGGTGACCGCGTTCTACATCAGCTTCTGAAACCACTGTATCCGGTCTCAGTGTTTGATATTGCCTTTGAGTGTTTCGGCCCAGACTTGCTTGAAATGCCAGTTTAGTGTGACTGGAATATATGAGCATCTCAGAACATGTCACGTGCACTGCAATAGCGAAAGATTGCTCACATGAATGATCATCCAACAGGTCAACAAAAGGTCACCGAAGCCCCACAGCCGCCGCCGGGACCTCGCACGCGATGCGCACGCGATTGCACCGAGTGGTGGCCGAGCTCGCTCCGGACCGTCCCAATGACCATGACAAGGCCGGGGCAGCTGAGAGCGGTCAGACAAGCGATCGCTTAGTGTCAGACACGGAAAGCCAAGAGGAGATGGAATGCCATGTGAGAGTCATCGATCCTGGAGAGCCCGATGTTTATTTGGATGCTTTGTGGGGACCCTTATATTTTAGGATGGAGCGAATACAAAAGGAGGGAGACGCGAGTGCTCGAGTCTCTGATTATTGGCTGGTAGGGCTCTTTCTCCTACTGAACCTTGCATTACAGCTGGCTATCTCGATAAAGATTGATCAGGTGGGGCTGGAGACTTATGGGGATCTAGGCAACACGCTGATGAATGATGCCTGCTGGAGAGTTTCACAGCATCAGCAGTACGTGGGCTCACTCTATCCATCCGACATAGAGGGTCTGAATGATGCAACAAACTTCGACTTTGATTGCGTCCCGCCCATCTTGACATTGTCCATGTTTCCCGACCATTTGGACACAAACAAGGATGGGCTTTGGTCGACGCAGGAATGCGCAGCACTGGAAGCAAAGCTGAATACCATGGGTAGTGACATGGCCAAAAACATGACACATGTCTTGAAGCGAATGGCGATCTTTGACCAAGAGAAGCGACCAGGATCCAAGAGCAGTTCCAACGGAACCGTCTCCTTTCTCGACCTAGAGTTCTTCAAGACATTTCATGGCCGGATACAGGCATGCCTTCCAGTCGATCCCAATCTCTGTGGGAATCTGGAAGTTCGGGGAAAGCTCTTCGGCATGCTTCCCTGGCTGGACACTGCACATCAAAGAGTTGAGGAGTGCAGAAACCAATTCGAATCCTTTTGCTCGAAGATTTTTGGAAAGGACTATGATTGGATCCACTACCAAACCTCCAAGCACTGCGGCGAGGCTGAATTTGCACGTACCTATGAGGTGAATGTCGCCGAATATGAAACCGTCCAGATCTACAAAGGTGAGGATGACTCAATCCTCGGTCCGGCCTTTGTGTCCTTCTTGGTTTTGCTGCTCTTTATTTGGCTCATGCTGATGCTGAGCGAGTTTCGTGCCATCTACAACTTTCTCTATGTCGTTTGGTACACCCCGTCCACCAGCAATGTTGATCCAAGCTTCGCGTCCATGGAGAACGACAAGTTGGTGATCCATTATCTACCCATCAGCCACAAGCTTTTCGCATTAATCGGGATCCTGCTGCCAAGGTGGGGTTGCTGAGTTCTCTCGGTGTTTTCGTGTCAGACGGGCGCCCTCAGATCTGAAAGAGGCTCTGTGGTGCTCATCATGTTGTTTACAACACGCGTCTCAACACGGTCATGTGTTCTCATCATCGCTTCGTAGCTTACGCGTGCTTCTCTTCCCTTCCGGTCACGTGTTCGCTTCTCTCAGGTTCATCATCGGGTGTGTGATCCTTACAGTGGGTACGCGATTCCTCACGGCCACCAATAACTTGCAAGACTTGGTCTTGAACAGCACCGCCTTGGGCTTCCTCATCGAGGCGGTTTTATTGTGACGGTGACTGTTTCGTGAGAGGGGATTTGTCTTCTCGCCTTTTGTGGAGAGCGATGGTCTGAACACTTAAAGCAGGCAAGCAGGCATTGGCAAGGGGATGCCCCTATGCCTATACTCTATACAATACTTAGACTTGAGAAATTGGAGGAACGGACCTGCTCTTGTGGCATTTGCGCATGTTCTTCCATGGCCCATGAATTGAACCGCTAATTGGCTAATTGGCCCTGGATTTCAAGGGTCAGGGCAGGGTGTGCATCTTCCACCACGCCCGGCTGGACCGGGTCACAATCCACTTCTCGGCGTTGTGATGATTCGTCATGTGCTCTTTGCATATGTGAAGTTGGTGCTTTGATCGAATTCGTTTCGAATCGCTTAGTTTGTGTTAGGACGAAAGATCTCCTATATATAAATCAGTTTACAATACAGAACACGAACATGTCGTGGCAATTGGCAATCCTCCCCCCATCGCCCGGCTTCAGGTGGACAACATGATCCACACCTCCTTGTTGGGCGATGGCTTTGAAAAGCATGTGATGAACCGCAGCGAGCAGATTGAGGTGCAATCGGGCATCCGTGGGCAACACGAGCCCTATGGCGCGTTGCTACTCGCCTTGCTGTGCACGGCCGGGTACACTTATTACGTCACCTGGAATAAGTTCGTTCTTGTGCCAAGCATTGCCAAACCAAAAACACAAAAATATTCCAGGAGTCACAAAGGGGTGCCTATTGGAGGTTAGGGGTGCCCATTATCCACTCACTTAGGAATTAAGCACCACCCCTTTGTGACTGCTGGTTTGTTTGGTTAGTTGTTTGGTGCGGTCTTTGGGCCAGAGTGGTCGCGAAGCTTTTTGTCGCTGGTCGCCAACGTTGTGTAACCCATCCCTTCGAACAAGGCGTACTACAACCCATATGGCTTGAAGGCAGTGGGCCAGGGCATCGAATGCCTGTGTCACTTAGAAGGCAACTGCTTTGCCCGAAAATTGATTGCGGAACCCGCCTTGTGATGCCATGAGCAAGCGGCCCGCTTCGTGGCAGTGAAACAACTGCCGCCATTGCTTTGCTCAGACAGCGACAGTGGAGATGTTGACAGAGAAAAAGACGGAAAGACATACTGCAATACGGAACAATACGGATCATGTTTGATCCCTGTTTGAATAGATCGTCATCCTACAAGAGCTTATCTTATGTTCATTCAAATTCCATGTGATGCAACAATGTCACCACCAACAAGTAATTACTTGCACAGACATGTTTCTTGGAGATAAATAACAAGTGCAGTGTAATAACATGTGCAATAAGTGCCGTTCAATAATTAGTCAAGGCAAAAGAACATGCATGATGAGGCTCCATAAACGAACACATAACATATACATGTTGAGATTCAAAATTCACCACCACAAGAATTGATTGGCCAAACCTTTTTCCGAAAAAGACAGAAGCAAGTCTTCTCAAGCAACACAAATTCTGCGGGGTCAAAGAAGTTGACATCAAAGAACAGTCGAACACAGGCTGCATTTGCTTCTCACAGCACATCCTTTCGTTCGTGAACTCCCACGGGTCCGGGTCTCCACGGGTCACGAACCCAGCGGTCGATGGTCGGCTCCGGTGCGGTCACGTGTGGGTTTGGTCGCACCCAGGATTCAAGCGCAGAGAACCATGGCACTTGAGAAGGACGGGCGAACAAGGGAGAGCAACAAGGGAAGGAGAGGAAGGAAGAGAGACCTGCATGATCTCGTGTGACGACTGGGGTGAACAGTTGCAA